CGAGGGGATGTGGGTCTTGGGGGGACATGGAGGGGACACGGGGGAATGGGGGGGACGCGGGACTGGGGGGCACTGGGATGGGGACAGAGTGAGGAGAGGGGTAGAGGGGACAGGGGGATGTGGGACTGAGGGGACACAGAGCCACGGGGCGGGAGTTTCCCGGTCGGGGTGGGGGTCCCTGGCGGGGTGGGGGTCCCCGGAGGGGTGGGGTCTCAGGCCGTGCCCCCTCAGCCGACTCCACGGGGACGCACTCGCTGTACACGACGTACCACGGCTACGAGGTGATGTTCCACGTCAGCACCATGCTGCCCTTCACCCCCCGCAACCCTCAGCAGGTACCGGGGTGGGGGTCCTCAGGGGGGTCCCAGGCTCGTGGGGAGGGTCGCAGAGGGGTCACGAGGTCACGGGGGTCCGTAGGGTTTGGGGTCCCCCCCCCAGTCCTGCTCTTCACCCCCGGCAGGTACCGGGAGCTCGGGGAGGTCCGTGGGGTCGTGGGAGCTGGGGGGGTCCTTCTGAAGACCCCCCCGTGACAGTTTTGGGGGCTCTGATCCCCCTCTGGACCCTTCCCGTGACAATTTGGGGGTCTCCGATCCCCCCCGTGACAGTTTTGGGGGGCTCTGATCACCCCTGTGACAGTTTTGGGGGGCTCCGGACCCCCTCTCCTCCCCCGCAGCTGCTGCGGAAGCGCCATATCGGGAACGATATCGTGACAATCGTGTTCCAGGAGCCGGGGGCTCTCCCCTTCTCCCCCCGCGCCCTGCGCAGCCACTTCCAGCACGTTTTCCTCGTGGTGCGGGTGCACGAGCCCTGCACCCCAAAAACCTCCTACAGGTGGGGCCGGGGGTCCCCGAAGGCTCCTGAAGGGATGGGGGGGTCCCCAAGGGGCTCAGACAGAGGTCGGGGGGCTCATTCAGGGGGTCCCAGGGGTCTCTCAGGGAGGTCTGGAGATCTCTAAGGGTCTCAAACAGGGGTCGGGGGTTTTGGACAGGGGGGCTGGGAGGTCCCCAAGGGGTCCTGGAGGTCTGGGGGGGCTCATCCGGGGGTCCCCACGATCTCTTGGAGGTTTGGGGGGGGGGCTTTCAGGGGCTCCGGGTGTCTCTGTGGCTCTCCGGGGTCTCTCCTGGATTTTTGGGGTGACACCCGACCCTCGGAGTGGGGGGGCTTGCGGGAACCCCGGGGTTCACCTGGGGGGGCTGGGGCTGGGGGAGTCCGGGCTCTTTGGGGGTCTCACGATTCCTGGAGGGTCTCCCCAAATCCCTGTTGGGGAGGGGTCTCTGCTGCTTCCCGTGACTTTCCCAGGGATTTTAAGACCCTTAAGACCCCCTCCCCTTTTTTCCACCCCCCTCCCTCAGCGTGGCCGTGGTGCGGCCGGAGGAGACCCCCCCGTTCGGGCCGGCTCTGGAGGCCGGGCAGCGATTTTTGGGGGGCTCGGGGCTGCGCCCCTTCCTGCTGGCCAAAGCCATCAACGGCGAGAACGCCGCGGCCCGGGGGGGTCGCCTGGGGGCCATGGCAGCCCGGACCCGCCGCCAGTACCTGCAGGAGCTGCTGCGAGCCCACGGCGGGGGGACCCCGCTCCCCGCGCCCCCCCGGGGGCTCCCCACTCTCGGGGGGCTCCGCCGGGGCGGTTCCGGTTCGGGAGGTTCGGGAGGTTCTGGCGGCGGGGGAGGGGCGGCGGTGGTGGCGGGGGCGTTGGTTTGGGGGGCGCGGGCAGAGGGGGGGCCCGGGGGGGTCGAGCTGCCGTGTCTGCTCGGGGTGGCCGCCGAGAGGCTCGTGGTGGTCGCCGCGCCCCCCGGGGCGGTCGCCAATCGCTGCGGGGGGGTCGCTCCCAACTCGGCCAAACAGAACCGGGGCAGGGGAGAGATCCCCCCAAAGCCCGGGGGGCGGCCGGGGGAGCCCCCCCGAGAGCCGGACACGGTCGCCACCTCCCCGGGGGAAGTCGCCCCTCAAGAGGGGTCGGTGGTCGCCCCCCCCGGGACCCTGTTCAGCTGCGCCTGCCGGGACGTGCTGGGCTGGGGCTTCTCCGAGGGGCGCCTGGAGATTTTCCATGGGGCGGGCGAGTGGCTCGGGCTGCGGCTGCCCCACGGCGCTGCCCCACAGGTGGTGGCCAGGCTGCAGGTGAGAGGCTGGGGGGGCTTGGGGAGGGTCCTGGAGGGGCTTGGGGAGGGTCCTGGGGGGCTCGGACAGGGCAGTGACCCATGGTGACACCCCCGGGGGTCTCTGTCGCGGTGACCTGGGGGGCGGGGATCCCCTGAGCCGTGTCCCCCCTCCGCAGGCGGTGACACGGGGGGCTCATTTAGGGGGGGTCTTTGGGGGTCTCCGTGTCCCTGACTCTTCTCCCCCCCCCCGCAGGCGGTGACACGGGGGGCGGGGGGTTGTTTGGGGGTCTCCGTGGGGGTCTCAGTGTCCCTGACCCTTGTCCCCCCCCCCAGGCGGTGACACGGGGGTGCGAGGCTCAGGAGCTGGCGCTGCCCCGGGGGGCCGGGGGTCGCCGGGGGTTCCGCGTGGACCCCTCGGGGGTGGTGACGGCCGTGACCCGCTTCTCGTTCGCCGAGACCGCGGGGCTGCGGCCGGGGGCGCGGCTGCTGCGGGTGGGGCGCTGCCCCCTCCCCCGGGGGGACCCCCGGAGGCTGCGGGCGCTGCTCCGGCGACCCTCGGGACCCCTGACCCTGCTGCCCCCCGACCGCGACGGGCGGCCCCGGCGGTGAGTGCGGGGCTGGGCGGGGGGCGTGGGGGGGTTTGGGGGGGGATTTGGGGGGGTTGAGTTTATAGGGGAATGGGAGGAGGAAATGGGGCGGGGCACGGGGGGGACAAAGGGGCCGGGCCACCCCCCGCGTGTCCCCGGTTTCACCCCCCGTGCCCTCCCGATGTCACCCCCGTGTCCCTCCCGGTGTCACCCCCCGGTGTCCCTTCATTCTCCCCCCCGTGCCCCCCCGGTGTCACCCCGGTGTCCCCCCAGGAGTTTCTCGGAGCTCTACGCCCGCTCTCTGGAGCAGGGCCGGGGTTCGGGGGGGGACCCCGGCCCTGGGGACCCCGGCGGTGACATCGGCGACACCGACAGCGACTCGGGGGGCGACAGCGACGCGGGGGAGGCCGGGGGGGGTCCGGGGGGGCTGTCCCCCGACACCCTGAGGCTCCTGCAAGCGCTGGCGCTGGATGAGGAGAGCACCCCCTTCCCCCCCGGCCCCTCCAGCCCGGAGACCCCCAAGGAGCCGAGCGGCCGCGCCCCCAGCCCGTGAGTGACCCCCGGGCACGGGGAAACACCCCCGACCCCCGGGGAACCCCCAAATCCCCCGGGAACCCCCATAACTGTCACACCCCCCC